CAAAACTTTTAAAAATAATATTTCTAAATTAGACCCGAGTTCCAAACCCTTTTGGAAACTCACAAAAATTTTGAAAAAACCTCAAAAGCCTATTCCAGCGCTTAAAGAAGGTGGTAAAATTTTGATCACAAATTTTGGAAAAGCTCAGAAACTTGCTAAGCAATTCGAGAGTTCCCATAATTTCAGTTGCTCGGGATTATCTGACTATTTTCTCTCGGGAATATATTTTTATTCCTGGGGAACTGATTTGGACAAAGTAAGGTCTATAACTAAAAAGTTTCATAATATAAAAGCTCCAGGTGATGATGGAATTTTCTACATCCTCATCAAAAAACTCCCAGAGAGTACCTTGTCATTCTTGGTAAAATTATTTAACAGATGTTTCCATTTGACATACTTTCCTGATAAATGGAAAAATCCAATTTTGAAGCCGGATAAAAATCCAGCTGAAGCTTCTAGCTACCGTCCAATAAGTTTGCTTTCTTCAATAAGTAAACTTTTTGAAAAGATAATGTTAAATAGAATGATGCTTCACATTAATACAAACTCAATTTTTGCAGATGAGCAGTTTGGATTTCGCCATGGGCATTCAACTACTCATCAACTGCTAAGAGTTACCCATTTAATTCGTTCAAACAAATCTAAAGGCTACTCAACTGGAGTTGGTCTTCTAGATATAGTAAAAGCATTCGACATTATATTATGAAATTAGTTCAAAATTATTTAACTGACAGAACTCTGCAGGTAAATTATCAAAATTCCAAATCTAATCGACTACCTGTTAGAGCAGGAGTTCCTCAGGGTAGCATTCTTGGGCCTATATTGTATAACATTTTCACTTCGGACCTCCCTGATTTGCCTCAGGGTTGCCACAAATCTTTGTTCGCTGATGACACAGGTATTTCCGCTAAAGGAAGAAGTCTTCGTGTTATTTGCAGCAGACTGCAGAAAAGTTTAGATATTTTCTCTTCTTATTTACAAAAATGGAAGATTTCTCCCAACGCTTCCAAAACTCAACTTATAATATTTCCACATAAGCCTAGAGCTTCGTTTTTGAAACCTAGTAGTAGTCACATAGTCACTACCCAAGTAACAATTAGGGGTTTATGAGGGTTCTGAAGACTATGAATTAGACTTGTAGCATGCTTTAAAACCGTGATAAAACTTGCAATGTTACTTGGGTATGAACGGAGTTCCAATTTCCTGGTCAAGCCAAGTGAAATATCTTGGATTAATACTTGACCAAAAATTAACTTTTAAAGATCACATTGAGGGCATTCAAGCCAAATGTAACAAATATATAAAATGTTTGTATTCTCTTATAAGCAGGAAATCCAAAGTTTGCCTGACGAATAAACATCTAATATTTAAATAAGTTTTTAGACCGGCCATGCTTTACGCTGTGCCAGGAAAAAAGGCACTTCAAAGGATTCAGAACAAAGTTCTGAAAATGATTTTGAAGTTGCCTTCCTCCCTACAGTACTACCGAGGTACATAGAATTTCGAATGTTGAAACTTTAGAACAAATGTCCAACAAAATAATTAATAATTTAAGGCAAAAATTGTTGTAATCCTTAATTGCAACGATTAATTCCCTTTATATTTAGAAAATATTTAGATTTAGTTTTTAGTTTTAAGATTTCAATTGTTCACTTCTACTTTCTTGTGCCCATCAACATAGGGAGAGATTGAAATATGTATAAGTTGAGATGAATTACTGTACTGAAACTAATGTTCTGCCCGACAACAACTCAGCAGCACGAGACTCCTTGAACTGTGTCTCAGAGTCGGCGCACTACTGGGCAAACTGGAGGGGCTACGCGGATGAAAAGGCACTCAAGCTTTCAATTAAACTAAAACACAACGCGGATCAATTTAAACACTGTATTTCTGCAATTACCCATAGTGTGGATTGTGTGGTGTTGTGTTCGATTTTCTTGGCACATACCCTTGATGACGATGGTGACTACGACGACTGCAGACCAGCGAGCGCTCGCTGTGGTTCCGGAAAGATCCTTAAAGGCCGATCTTGTCGGCAAGATGGCGGTACCACCGCTCGGTGAAATTGCGGTACAATTCCGGCAATGGCGGACGAAGCGAGGCTGACCGAACGTCGGCCGTAGTGCGATGGCGGGTTGGTTTTACCGGGCTGGTATAGCGGTTTGTGGAGATGGTTCCGATGCACAGGCGCTTCCTTCTGACGAAGCCGGTCGACGACGGCAAGGCCGCCCTCTGTCGAACCGGGAAGGGAAATTCTCCTTGGCGTTTAGGGCCTTCAGCCCGAGAACAATATCCTTTACGGTTGGGTCAAGGTAACTCAATGTCACCTAGACCGTAGCGTGCAATGGCGGTCCTTGACTCGCCAACCAGAAAACCATTTGATTGGTTGAAAAGAAAGGTCCTGAATCAGCTGAATTGGTGATTTCCACTGCACCTTGATTCACTACTCGCACTGTTTTCTGTTAACATGTATTCCACAGACACTTCTGGTCTACACGCTCGCCTGAGATAAAGTGCACGATGGCCGTTCTCTAAGCATCGTAGAACCCTTCAGCTCATCACCCGTGACTCCGTGTCACCATTTTGCCGCGGCCATGCGCGCCTTATTCAGCAGTCGGCCGTTAAGCATGGCCGTGTCGTCTGCCCAGTGGGTTTCACCGCAAGTGTTACACAAGTTTATTTGAATGCTCGATCACATGGTGCATATTTAAAATATTGTATTGAACCTTTGTAACAGAACGGTTACAGTACCATGAGTTAAAATTCTTTTAAGCAATCGCATATAGCCCAAGTAACATTTTAAGTTTTATGCAATACTACAAAACTACTATAAAACAACATTCATAAAACCCTGATCAAGACTGCTTTGCCATTGATGCATCCACCAAAACCTCATTGATGCTAGGATCTAGTATGAAAATCATTAAATCGATTTATCTCCGTTAATATGGCTCTAATCGAGATTTGGAGCGTTATTTGGTGTCAAAAAAAAAAAAAATTTCCTCAAAAAACATGTCCCAACCCATTTTTTCAGGCTGGCGGGTATGGAAATCTTTAAATCGATTTATCTCCGTTAATATGGCTCTAATCGAGATTTGAAGCGTTTTTAGGAGTCAAAATAAAATTTTCTCAAAAAACATGTCCCAACCCATTATTTTCAGGCTGGCGGGTTGAAAAGCTTTCTTTATTGAATTCAGAAATCATTATGGCTACTAAATTTAAAGAATTCGAACATGTATGGGTAAAAGCGCAAGTAGCAGATGAAACTCATGTCTTTGCTTCGGTATACTTTCCTCCGAACAATGCTCATAAGGACACGTATGATAAGTTTTTTGGAAAAGCGGAAGAATTTTTGTCTAGTTTACCCCCTGAAGTAAAAGTACATATATATGGGGACTTTACCCAACGCAATGTTGATTTTATTTCTGATATGGACAATGAAAGCATCTTACTTCCAGTCGTTGGGGAAAATGAAACACTCCATTTCATTTTTGACAAAATTGCAAATTTAGGACTCTATCAAATTAACCACGTGAAAAATCAACAAAATTGTTATTTAGACCTTTTATTAACAAATACTTATGAAGATTTCTGTGTGACTGAATCGTTAAGTCCCATATGAAGAAATGAAATGTTTCACACAGCAATAGAATATTCTCTATTCGTTCACATAAATGAAAGAACCAACGACTGCGAATTTGATGAAATCTTTGATTACAATTCAGCAAATTATGATATCATTAGAAATAGATTGAACATTGTCGATTGGCAAGCAATATTAAGAACTGCAGGATATGTCACTGGAATCCGGAAACTTTCCTAAAATATGGAAAAACTCGTTTTTAGTGCCTATCTTTAAATCGGGCAAAAAATCCGACATACGTAATTATCGTGGTATAGCCATTATCTCTTGCATTCCTAAGCTTTTCGAGGCGATTGTGAATGAAAAACTCTTTCTTCAAATTAAAAACACAATAACTACTATGCAACATGGCTTCTTCAATCACAACAACTACGAATTTGCTCGAATTAATTGATTATTCCTTGAATGCAATGGATAACGGAAACCATGTAGAAGTGTTGTATACAGATTTCAGCAAAGCGTTTGATCAAATTGACATACCCATGCTTCTTTTTAAACTTCAAAAAATGGGAATTCATTACGCACTCCTCAAGTGGCTTGAATCATATTTAACTGACCGCCATCAAATAGTAAAATACAAAGGAAAGACATCAAATCCTGTTGATGTCACTTCTGGAGTTCCTCAAGGCTCCCATTTAGGACCGCTTTTATTTATTCTCTTCGTCAATGACATATCTTTCATTATTAAGAAATTGAAAGTTTTAATCTATGCTGACGACATTAAACTTTTTATGGAAATTTATCTCCTAAATAGAGATAATAATAATAATAATAATAATTTTTATGGAAATAAAAGATGCCAAAGACATCATCACATTCAAAGAGGAAATACAGATATTCCATACTTGGTGCCAAAAAAGCCTGCTACAATTAAATATAAAAAAATGTAACTCAATTACCATTAGTAGAAAACGAACCCTACCCGATATAACAATCACTTTAGGAAACCATATCGTAGAAAAGTGTGATAGAGTCAGGGATCTAGGTGTTATTTTGGACTCAAAACTTACTTTCACCGATCATTATAACACAATTAATATTTGTATATCATTATATTTTTCCAAAAAAATTATTTCATTTTAATTTTTTGATCTTTGAAATCGGCCCGTGGTAGAAAAGGTATGGATTTAAGAAAAAAGTCGTTTTTAAAAAAATCAAATTTTTTGACCACCCATGGAAACATTCTTACGAATTTTTTAGAACCCCTTTATCGTTTTGCTATGGAATGGCTGAATTATCATTAATATCATTTCTTCATTAAGTCGACAATCTGTGAAGAAACAACGCAAAGTCTCTATCGCCTTTCATGCCTTTCGGATAAAAATAATTAACTAGAGCCGTAGATTTTCATTCTCGATTTTTTTCTTTTTTGTACAAGCCAATAAAACATGGTATTCCGTTTTCTTGCACTTTATCGTTTTCGTATAAAATAAAATTTCACAAAATTGCTAAATATACTGTGGATTACGTCGCGTCTCCATTATTATCAAATTATTCCAACTGATACCGCCCCTCGGGGAGTGCTGTGTTATTTTTTTTAATTTAGATTTTCGTTTCATGCTAACATTGCGCTTCGCAACTTTTTTCACAATTCAATTTATTTCATTTGCTCTCACTTTGTGACACGTGTGCTGTTTTTTTTCTTTGTTTTGCGGTGTGTGGTAAATATATCATCATTATTAATGGTTTAGACAAAAAATATCGACATTTGATTTTTGCTTTTTTGGATTCTTCTTTTAGCTTTTACAACAAGCGTTCACATTTTATGTTCTATTATTTGGTGCCTGTCATTTCTTGCTGCTGCTGTTGCTTGTGCTTTTGATAGGGGATTTTTCTGCTAGTTTCGATGGTGGCTGTTGCGATAGGGATGAAAGGGAAGGTGATGCCCTGGCTGGTAATTTGGTGGCATAGCTGCCACAAGCGGTTGGTGGTTTTGAGTTCGGTTTTGAGCTGCCAACAGTTTTCATCGGCGATGCACTGTTGCTATTATTGCTACAACTACTAGTGGCTTGTGATATGGCAGAGGCTTTTGATGGGGCAATTCTTTTCGGTGAAGGCTTTGGTGATGAATCTGGGGTGGATTTGGGGGTAGATTTCGGTGACCTTAGGCTAACACGGCGACTGACTCCGGGTGAAGGACTAGCTGATGGAGGACTGGCACCGAGATAGATGGCCGATCCGGTACCGCTGGTTAAATCGACCCGTGAACCATGGATGGACGGTGGAGCAGAACCTATTGTGGGGATTTAAATTATGATATAATTGTTTTGAAGGTTCGTATTTTTACCCGTACTCACCCGTATAGGAGTAGAGCCCGGCCGGACTGCTGCGAGGTCTGAAGGTACTAACAATGCTGGAACTGCGTCTCAGCTCGGACAGTTCGCCAATATCGATCTCAGCTGCATACTCCCCGGCCACCCGGGGATTGTTCCGTTGCCCTGGGGTGCCACCATTATTACTCTTGGAGCACCGTGGTGAAGTCGGACAGGACTGAGCAGCGCTTCGTACGGACAGTTGAGACGATGTCGATGGTGATGAAGAGAGGTTATATTGCTTTCTCGATGCTGTACTTCCCTTGCGACGGAGGCCACCACGTGATTCCGAACGGCAGATTCCTAGTAGTCATACAACTAACTGTTTCAATTTGCATCCATTTGGAATTTAATTTCATTTCAAGAGTGAATGAATGCGGTACTAGATATGGTGCTAAGTGATTGCATGAATTTTTGATTGAACTTTCTATTACTTTGGAACATGTGATCAAGCGATAGCCGTTTTTGAAGGTGAAAATGGCGTTTGATTTGATTTTTTTTTTTGGGAAGAGGTGGCATTGGTATGAATCTATAATGAGCGTAGCTGCAAAGTGAGAAAAGTAAAAAAGAACAGAAGGAATGATGAGAGGCAAGCCGAAAATATTTTTCTTTTTTTTTCATTTCGTAACGGTTGATCTGTGTCCATTTCCATCAAATATTAACCACGGTGAAGGGTTGGTGGAACAACATTGTATGAACATCTAAAGCTAAGACAGGAAACAATAACTGATAAGAGAGAGATGCACTAACCTGTTGGACAATCTTTAGCAAATTTACACTGGCCTTCGCAAATACCTTTGTTTTCTAGCAACATTTCGTAATTATCTAAAGCTATAAAGCATTGGTCTCTATCATTACATTCCAAAGCTATGCTGGGAAATCGTTCCTTAAGTCGTCTTCTTTCCTGAGAGCAAAAATGTGCATTTTTGAATAGTGGATTAAGGAGTTCAGATCAATCTTACATCTAATATTTTGTAGCACTCAAACTCCTGCAGTTGATTCTGGAAGCCGAGATTCGGGTTAGCGATGGCACGACCTGCGCGCACCACCTTGAGCGCTTCCTTCCAGCTGAGTGGTGTAACGGACATGATGTATGCCACGGCCACCGTCACCGAGCGGGACATTCCGGCCAGACAGTGGATCAGCACGTTGCCATCCTTGAGCCGGGCGGCGTGTATAAAATCGTTACAGACGGAAAAGTATTGCGAGAGGTTTTGGTCCGGTGTATCGGCGGCCATCACACAGAGGTAGTGTTTATCCTGAAAGAGTAAAGTGACGGAGTTATTATGATTTGATATTACTGGTATTATGGGAGTAGGCTGTGCCGGATTTCTACCCTAACATCACCCGTACCCTGAGAGACTCGCATGTCACCCGGTTCAGAAGCCGCTAACAAGCTAAGAGGAGGGGAATCTATTTTCTTGTATTTTGACAGTCGACTTCGTTGCCCATAATGAAATAATTTTATAAGCTTTATAAGTAGTACTTTATCGAAATGCTGTAATTTTTCCCAATTAATACAAATTTTGCGGTATCATACATTTAGTATTTCCTAAAACTAGTCATTACAGACATAACGCTCACAATCACATTCATCGCAAATAAGGTTTTAGTTGGAAATGTGCAAGCTACCAAATTTCGAACTTATCAGTGATGCAACTTCTTTTTAGGTAAATTAAGTAGATGTCAGCTCTTCAAAATGATAAGTGGCCAAGGCATCTCGCTGGAGACACACCACTTTCTGTTAAATACAGAAAAAAATGTTGTTAAATATTACATCCAAAGTGCTGCACATTGGTCATTCCGCTTGTGTACTATGTATACTGTGTAATATTACGCTGTACGATGTGCACAGAATTTGAGAACAAATCGTTTTGATGACTGTAATATCCTATCAACGTTTACCAGTTATTAATATAATTCATTGATACATACATACTATATTTGTTTGCTGTCTATTACATTAAAGTGATGAGCGGTGGTAGAAATGTCATTAATTAGTCATGCATTACCACGTTTGTTCGCTTTAGTTCGGAGTCTTGTTGCAAAACTCTTTTTTTTTTGTGTTTGTAGTAGTTGTTGCTCAAGATTTTAGTCTCCGCTTAGTTTTAAGCGAACAAATATTATTTTAATAAGTAGACTTAGGTATAAATAGAAGAACTAATCGTGGAATATCATTCACTTTGTACGAAATGTAAACTTTTAGTCTGTCATCGCTACATCTTCATGACATGACATGGCTGTCATCTAAACGTCACCGCGGTCATCTGCGAGACGTTGGTTATCCCAGTGGCTCACTTGCATACGAGGGGCTTGCACGTAACATCCTCCCCCTCATGTCGCCTCAGTTTCTGCTTTGGCGTCATCTTCGGGTTCCACATCTAGTAGTGCAAGCTTGATGACTGGTCTCCGTAGTGTACCACCCGAAGTCACTACCTCAGCTTGTCGCACGGTCCTATCCTTTCCAGGAAACGTACGCACTACCCGACCTCTCAACCACCTATTCCTGACCTTCTCATCCGCTATGACTACCAACTCACCCTCTTTGACTGGTCGCACATTTTGGAACCACTTGGTCCTCCTTGTTATCGTCGGCAGATACTCGGTGATCCACCTTTGCCAGATCCTGTCCAATGTGTGCTGTATCATGTTCCAACTGCTCCGCAATGACTCTCCAGGCTGCTTTATCGGTTGTTGTACTCCAGTTGAACTTAACAGCAGGAAGTGATTTGGGGTTATCGCTTCCTGGTCTGACGTCTGCAGCGAAACGAAGGTCATAGGCCGAGAGTTGATCATTTTTTCCGCTTCTGCAAAGACTGTCACCAGCGATTCGTCATCCAGCTTACGTTTCGTGGGAACCATGACCAAAGCCGACTTGATGGACCGAACCATCCGTTCCCAGCAGCCTCCCATGTGTGGTGCTGAGGGTGGGCTGAACCTCCACTGCGTATATATGTCCGTGAAGGTACTGCTTAACTTCGCATTGATTCCCTCGATTTTCCTTTTCAGCTCCCGGCTGACCCCGACAAAATTGGTGCCGTTGTCGGAGTAGATCTCTTGAGGGGCTCCACGTTGCGCAATGAACCTGCGCATTGCTTTTTTGCACGAATCGGATGACAGGCTGCTTGCTACCTCGATGTGTATGGCTTTAATAGTCAAGCACGTGAATACCACACCCCAACGTTTAGCTACGCTCCGCCCAATTTTTACCAAGTACGGCCCGAAATAATCGACCCCGATGAAAGTGAAGGCACGTACATGCGGCGTTAATCTTACCGTTGGTAGCGGTCCCATCTTCGGTGCCACTGGAACGGACTTGTACACTCGACACCACATGCATCGAGTCTTCGTCAGGCGTACGCGTGTCCTCAACTGAGATATGCAAAATCTTTGGCGAATTTCGTTCACCACTGTTTCATCGTTGGCATGACGAAAGTCACGATGATACCAATCCAGCAGTAGCATCGCCACACGATGATCATGTGGTAAGATTCTCTCCTACGTTTCATCGTTGCCACCTCATCAGGATATGCGTCCGACTGTACCAGTATCCACAAAGTGCACTCCGCCTTTTGCAATTCCTCTCGGATTAATTATTTCGCTGTAACTCGAACGCTACCCGTGGACGCTCGACGTAGGTTGTCCAGGAATCGATGGACATACGCAATGCATTGCTTCAAACGCTCGAACTTTGAGAACTGTTCAAATTCAACTGTTGGCTTGACGATGAAATGCGGACAGACGAAAGCTGGTCGAAGTTCTTCGTTTGTATCTTTCACGTTTTCTTCTAACCACTCCCCGGCTTGGTCGTACAGGAATGCAAGTCCGCGATACCACCGGCTTTCGATTTCGGTTGATGGCCCTTTTCCCCACTTTGTTGCTTCGTCAGCTACGTTGGTTTTCGTTCCTATCCAGTTCAATTCATCCACCGTAGACGAACTGAGAATTTCGTTGACTCTAAAGGCGACAAATTGGCGGTAGCGACGTGAATCCGACTTTATCCAAGCAATTACTGTTGTAGAATCACTCCAGAAAAAGGTGCGAGTTATCTTCACGGAATGATTATCTATGATGGCTTGTCTCAGACGAGCTCCTATTAAGGCCGCCATTAGCTCTATTCGCGGCATCGAAAGTGTTTGCAGGGGTGCTACTTTGGTCGATGAGACAAGGGTACATCGAACTTCTCCCCTGTCGACGATTTGGAAGTATGCGACCGCAGCAAAGGCCTTATCGCTCGCATCGACGAAGATGTGGAGTTGGAGCGACTCGTAGCTGGCTGGCATGTATCCTGGAAAATAGCAACGACTGATCTTCACCTTAATCATCTCTCGTAGAGCTATCAACCACTGATTCCAGCGGCAGAATATATCAGATGAAACCTTTTAATCCCAGCCGATGTTTTCTCTCCACGTATCTTGCACCAGAACTTTACCGTGGATAATGAAAGCTGCAATCAAACCGAGGGGATCGTAGAGACTCATCACTACGCTCAGTAGCTCCCGTTTAGTCGGAATAACTTCACCGTCTAAGAGCTGCCGTAGTTCCTCACGAAAGTGCATCTAGAATACATCTTCTTCTGGAGACCAAATCATCCCTAGCAACCGCTCAAACCTACAATCTTTACCCACCGCAAATCGCTTAACCGCAGCAGGATTGGCTTCTCCGATGCGCTCGAGGACTTCCACGCTGTTTGATGTCCAGTTCCGGATAAAGAAATCAGCCTTCTCATGAATCGCTGCCACTTCGCTTGCTAGTTGAACCGCTTCTTCGATCGTGTGGACGCTGTCGAGGTAGTCATCGACGTAATGCTTGTTTTGTATCGCCGAGGTCGCTCTTGGATAAAGCTCCCCGTGTTCTGCTGCATTTAGGTTCTTTACGAACTGTGATTGAACGGGTGAGCAGGTCGCTCCGAATATGGTCACGTCGGTTACCATTATTGTTAAGCCCACTGGGTACCTCGAACGCACCTCGTTATTTAAATTAACCTTGGCAGTTAGCGGTACAAGAAAACGGACGGACTAGAGTATTAATAAAAGAAGAAGAAATAAAAAGGATCGTAATTTGACACAGTGTAAACACGCTAGGAAGATAAAAGCTTAATTTACAGCATTATCATTATTATTTCAGTTTCTATTGCTCTAAAACTTCAAACTTTGAAAACTAAACGGTAATGTACAGGACAGAATTGAATTACAAACAAACAAACTAATTATACCTAAATTTCTAGCAGTGAGTTTGTAACTCTAGTAAAATTGAGGTTAGGGAATCAGAGGTGCAGGAAAAAGAAGGAAACACGAATTGTAAGCTTGTTTCTTTACTTTTATAACCTTAAAGCTAATGCAAATATATTTCCAGCTTTAAGTTGTTCACAAACTGGACACGCTCTGAAGATCGAGTTCCTTCGGCTGCATCCGGAACCGAAAATTCTCACTAACATTCTTAAAGAATTCGTAACATCCGGATCTCAACATGGCAACGTCCTGCAAACTTTGTGATCGACCGGATGATTGGGATGTTGGCATGGTGGCCTGTGACGTATGCGGGGAATGGTTTCACTTCCGATGCGCGGGCGTCACAGAAGATGTGAAACACGTCTCATGGAGTTGCGGTGATTGCAGCTTCCGCTCTGCAGCATCAGCGTCAAGCGTCTGTTCTCGGATTTCCAAGGAAAGTTCCGTTTTTACGCTGGAGCTTCAAATGCTCGAAGATGAGCTCAAGGAAAAGCAAAAGGCTTTGGAGCAGGAGAAAGTTCTAGAGGAGAAGTACTTGTGCAAGCAGAATGTACTTCAGGAGGAATACCGGAGGAACCGGCAAGCTCTTCTCTTAAGGCAAGGTACGGTAGGAGGAAGTGATCGTGGAAGTATGTTAGAGTCAGAAAGTCAGCAAAACGGAAAAGGCAAAGTGGAATGGTGGATGGAAACGATGTCAAAACCCGAGGATGCTGGACGGAAATCAACCGGATATGCGGATCCTCGTGGGGCATATCCAAAAGCTCCCCTTCCAAGGGCATCAAGCGTGGCTGAACGCTTTTCCAAGAACGACCTCGAACAGGTATCGGGTAATCGTCAACGTATCCGCTTAAACCCAATGGCTGCGTATTATCCAAGATGCGATCGGTTCAACAACATTCCTCCGGAGAATCTAGTGGACCTAGATAGAGCCGTATCATCGTTAGCATTGCAAGAAGATGACGATTTAACCCGAAGAATCCCTCAGCATCAGCGGGAACAACGTTTCGGTAAAGCCGATCCGGTAGTAC